GAGCAGGATCTGGGGGACAAAGAAAAAATGACCCTCTGAACAATTTCCGTTCATTCCAGAGGAGGCTTTGGATTTCCTGCTCCGTGTTCAGGAATGGCAGCCTGCTGAAATGGAGGGAGTTTCTGCAGCAGTTTATGAGATGACAGAAGGAAGTGTCTGAATGGGAGGAAGGGAAATGGGCCTGGCATCCAGAAATTCTACTGGGCACACAGCCCCTTGGGCACAGACCCGTTCTTGAGAAGGGCAGTGTCCAAGGCTGGAAGAGGAAAAACAGAATAGTCAGTTTAACGGGTTGGTCTGAATGTTTCCATACTTTCCAAGGGAGCTGGGGTCTCTTGGAGGCGGGGGGGCAGTGAAAAAGAGATGGAGATTAAGATCTTGCATTTCTCTCAGTCTCTGCTAAACACTCCCGGACCAGTCCTCTTGCTTGAATGATACCTGTAAAATAGATAAAATATTGTCTGCTTTTTGGAAGACGCCCCCCTTTTTTTCTTCAGATGAGTGAGCAACTAACTTCTTACCAGGGAAATAACATTATAAGGAGCCAAAATTCCAAAGGAAATCATATTTACTGCCTGCCTTTATGTGAGAAATTGGTCTGTGTTCATTAGGGTCTTCCCAAGCACTAATTTTAGTTTCCATTTTTGGAATGAATCCGTATTTGTGTCAAATAGGCAATGCTGCGCTTGCCTTCCTGCACCTCCCAAGTCTGTTTGGGTATGAGTCCTAGAAAATATCCTGCATTTTGCACCTAGTCAGGGTGTGTCAGCAGAGTTCGTAATGGCCTAGTTCATACTTTGCACTAAATGATACTTGGATTTAATTGATTTCAGCCTGCTAGGATGTATGAACCAGGCCCTGAGGCTTGTCACCATGGCAATGAGCTAGCTATGGAGTTCAACAGACGAAAGAAGCAACAAGGCCAAGTACTTTGGTCCATTAGAGAGACGATGTGGGACCGACCCTGATTCCGCTAATTCCTGCCGATTTGCTCCAAATAGCAACCTCGCATCTTTCTATCAGCTCTCCCCGGAACAGTCACATTGCAAGTTCAGAAGTAGAGATTACAAGGACGCTCAAACACCCTGCCTGTTGCTCGGTATAATCCTGAGGACTAGAAACTTCGGTGATTTAAAACAACAGGATTTAGCCCTTTCCCCATCCCACAAGGCTGGCCCAGTTACCTCGTTTTAGCCTTTCCATGGCACTTTTGCTTCCGGCATACGTGGGCCTAATTTCTTTCCCTAATTCTTCTATGATGGTCAGAAGTTCTGCATATTTGCTCTGGGGGACTTGACTGCTGCCGGTCCCCTGCTGGCAGAAAAGAAAACCTGAATTAAGTCACAAATAAATCCAAAAGATGTTGGTTACAAACAAGCCGAGCAATACTTAGTTATTTATGGTGTCTTATGGTATTGGTTAGTAGTTAAGAGCATTACTTTCAAGCAGGTGGGGGCATCAGCGGGGGTGGGTTTGTCAAGATGGTGGCTGCCATCGTGTGGCTGTGGACGCCATCTTGACTTCTTTGACCCTTGCCTGATGAAGATGCAGACCACATTTTCTGGTAGATAAACTACACCGAATGTGGGCCTTACTTCACAGTAATCGAGCCTGGAATTGAACTGATACATCCTGTCCTCTGGTCCTCAACATTTGGCCGTGGCAAACATCATATTCTTCCCAAGTTAATAATATTTTTATTTGGCGTGCCCTTACGGTATATCTAAGCTCAGTACAAGACCTATTTTTCATACAGGCCTCCTTTCTCCTCTGTTCTTCGGGTTTCAAAATCGTAAGCTACTCAAAATAGCCTCTTTCGGGAGAAGGACAAAACAAAGTGTGCTCAAGTATTCACTGAATAAAACACAACTGGGTTTACCCAACATGTTAAACCCTAAACCCTGGTTTACAAACGCCAGCGGCTGAATTCACACACCCGCACTTAGCCAGGAACGGCATTATGCGTATTATCACACCAAGGAGACAAACCTGTCAGGGAAACAGCCTTACGTTATAAAGCTGTTCCAGAAGCGCTGCCTGTTAAAACGGTTCCATTGCTCAGACCGCGCACCTCTTTTGCCCAATGAGTTGTAGAAAACCAAAATGCTCGTATGAGGCTTTATCGCAGCTCTACAAGACCCCGTCCCTGCAATTCCTGGTTACTAAGCCCTTAATAGCCAAGAAAACCAGGCACCTCCACCCCTCTATTTAATTCAGTCTTTTCAGGAACTTGTAGTATCATCATCGTCGTCGTCATCATGCCAACCCATCTATATTACATGAATGAAAGCAGGAATGACCAAGTGACTCAATCCACGTGCCTGGTAAAGTTAAAGCAAAATCAGAATTCTTACCTGCACTCCCTGCGTGTAGCCTAGAGATGGGGGCCCGTAATCGTTAATCAGGTGCCTGTACTGCCCCGAGCCTGCCATGCTTGTAGAAGGAGAATGAGCTTTGGAGAGACAAAATGCCATTGATGAGACTGAATCCCAAAAGAATGGAAAAATACAGATAAATGTCCGTTCGGGGGGAAAAATGCATCACCTATTGCTCTTCCTTCCACTCACAGCCCCTAGAAACCGTAGTCCTAACGCAGAAATAAATACCAATATCTGAAGAGTTGTCGTTTCTGTCTCGAAAAAGGAAACTTTTTTGGCTTCGCACGAACCTTCCATGTTCTCCCCAGCTCCGAAATATAGAAAAATGGCCATTCTTAGGGGCCATATTTGCGATCATGGCATTATTTGCAATCGCTGCCCAGAGTCACTGCGATGAGATGGGCGGCCACAGATAAAACCACCCACAGAAAAGGATATCATTGGAAGGGGCTTTAAAATAATTTAATTCAGACGCCCCTGCTCAGGTGAAGCCTTACTATGACCAAGTTGACAGTGACCAAGTTGTAGGCGGTGGAGTTCAGATGCTGGAGAGTATCCGTATTGCACCAAATACTTAGATTTGGGGTTGGGGGGGTGTCATACAGAAAATATCCACCCTAAAGTTGGCCACAAAACCGTTGACCTACTCCATAAATCGGCCGCAATGCCTCGCTTTGCGCAATAGAGACTGAAGTCAAAACCACGCCAACCACATGATTTACAGCCTGGGCGAACTGGCTGCCGTGTAGCCTTGCCTGGCAGCGGGGGTCCGGAAATTCAAGCCGGGGGGACCAAACCGGGCATCTTGGCCAAGAAAAGCAGAGTCCCCCAGGTCAGCTATGCCCCTTCCCCTTTTTCGGCACGGAGCACAAATGCTGGTGATCAGTGGGGCTGGTTGGTGGCCTCGCCATCAGGAATGGAGTGTTGGAGATCATGGTGAAGACGGGCCCGCCTGCCAGGAATCGGCATGCCCGCGATTCCTCTCCAAAGCCCAGCTCCTCCTGTCTGCCTTCTCCAGGGACAAGGAGCCCGCCCGAGCCCAATCTCGCCCTAGGGGCTGCTACTCACCCCAGGGCGATGCTGCTCTCTCTCCACCCCCCCAAAGCAAAGACAGTGTCGGATTCGGGGTGCCGTTACCTGCTCCCTGGCCCTCAAACACGTAGTAAGACATAGCCGCCAGCACCAAGAGCCTTCTCCGCCGCAGCAGGCCCCCAGGAACAAAAGGAGGGAGGGGGGGTTCGGACTTGGCTGCGGCACCGGCCCCCCTCAAACGCAATGCAGATGGCCGCCTTTTGCAGCCGTGCCAGCTTAGCCCAGCTGGAGGGTGAGGGTGGGTGGTGGAAGGAAATCCAAACAAAGCCAGGCTTGCTTAGAAACACCGAGCCTTCGGAAAGGAACCCCCAAAGTTCATCTAGCCAAGTCCGAGAGCCGGATCTCCCCCCACAAGGCACGGAGCACCCCGGAGAGCTGCAAAGGGGGCAGAGGTTCAGGGTGGTGGATCAGCAGCTTCCGTCCTAGGGATCCCCCCCGGACAGGGTCCCTCCAGGTGGACTCAGCACCAGCTCAGGCTGGGTTCAGACCTCAGCTGTTTGGCCCCTGCAGAAGTTGGGGATTACAAAGCCTATCAGCCCCAGAGGGCCTGGCGCCTGGCCCCTTGGGATGGGAGTTGCCAGCCCAAACATTGGGTGCATTCAGCTTCAGACCTCCTTTGTCTCCCGGGCTGGCCTTCAGCCAGGGTGCCGGAGTGTGCCTAGTTCACAAAGCAAGCGGAGGAACCATGTTGGCCACTCTCTTTTCTCCTCCCCCCCTGCCCCCCCAAAACCTGTTTCTCAACCGAAGAAACGACATGCATTTTCTTTTAAAAAAGGAGCCACTCAGGTTAAATGGGAATCGACCTCAGCATGCCCAGGAAGAAGCTTCTGGTTTTTGTTTTTTTCCCCTTCCACTTGCATCGGGGATGATTTTCACGTCTTGAAAGGAAGCAGAATAAATTTGGGAAGCATCTTCTCTCGCGGCCTGAGTCATCCTTTAGATGTGGCAGATGGCTGGCTCTCCCTTCCTCCCCTCCCCGCTTCAAAGCGCGTCCAAAATGTCGCAATTACTTTTCCCATCTAAAATGCAGGACAAAAGGGAACATTGGGGAAAACCGGCCTTCCTGCGCCAGATGTGGAGGAACTGCTGCTGACTTAGAAAGAGATCCGCTCACTTTGACACTTTCAGTGCCCCCACGCCCCACCCTCTGGCCTTCGTTGTATTTTTAGCTGGACTTCCCCTGTGTCACCAGATTTTCTCCCCGGGAGTGGACGGTGCCTTCAGAATTCCCCACACATAAAACCCAAGCAGCTTTCCAAAAGAAAAAAAAAATGAAGGCACGAATCTCAAGCATCCTTGAAACTCAAATAACATGGATTGAAGATGTTCTCTTGCACAAGTCCCACCAAGAATGGGAGAAGTGCACAAATCTGGGGGCATATCCACCCCCATTCATTTTTAGTAGGCCTTTGCAGGATGACTGGGGCCCTGAAAAGGCAGGGAGGGTGCTGGTTTATGGCATTAAGCCATTATTTGCCTAACCATAGTTTACTGAATCAATCACAGCTGGCTGGGTTCACAGAACATCCACAAACCAAGAAAACGTACATTATAGTTTAGCAGTGTTTTTCACACTTGGCCACTTGAAGATGTGTGGACTTCAACTCCCAATATTCCTTAGCCAGCATGGGTGGACCTCAACTCCCAAAATTGCCCCGCCAGTATGCTGGCTGGGGGATTCTGGAAGTTGAAGTCCACACATCTTCAAGTGGCCAACTTTGGAAAACACTGGTTTAGCATATGGTATGAACCAAGATGCCATCCATGAAGATTAATGATTTAGGAACCAAACTTTAGAAGAAAACTTAAA